GATTAAGGATCGCAATTGCAAAAATCTAAATAAAAATTTTAATTGCGAATTTTAGTAATGATAATAAATCCCAATTACACACATTCATCCAACAAGATTTCAACCATGGCATTCTGTACTAAATGCAAAAGCAATCACCCTGAAGGTCAATTTATCTGGAACGGTGTCTGTCACAAGACATGTAAAAGATGCAAAGAGAACCATAACTGAAAGAATAAAGATAATCAAAATGAGAAAATACCAACTATAATCGATCATGAACTAAGTCAATATAAAAATATAGAATTTTCTTCTGATCTTTCAGATAAGTCTCTCAATGCGTATACATTATTGCAAGGCGCAGAGGAAGTACCCGATAAATTCGAGAAAGAAGAGTATGGCGTAAAAAATGATGTTCATAATATAGTTGAAGAACATTCGGAGGTAGAACATATCAGTGATATCACACACACTGAGATCGACTATCTTGACTTGGGGAACTTCATTGAACATGAAATCCAAGAACTAACGGCTGGCGCTCACATTGATGGAGTAGCAAATATAATTTATCAGACTCACTTGCTGGTGTGTTTAGATGTCACTATGGTTCAAAGTAAGACAGCGAAGGATATTGCTGAACTTGTAATCACAGAAATTGAAAGCGGAGATGATTACTCATGGAAGTAAGTATCAACTCAATATAAAATACATTATCAGTATTATATTATTTATTAACTAGATGAAAAACATTATTATAGCTTTAAAAAAGCTGACCTATCAAGAAAATTTGGAAGCACAGTTAGTTGATTCTCTTACGTGTGCTATCAATCGAAAAAAGCACAGAGAGAACAGTACAAAGATTCCAATCACAAGAGACGAATGCATTATGATTGCAAAGGTAAGATTATAATACGAGTTAATACAATTCTTAACGTTATAACCGTAGATATCTATCACGGATCCCTCTATCCCTGTCCAAATCTCTGCATTGAGACATCTGAAGAACTGTGGCAAAAAATCAAAATAAACTCGCACCTTATCATTATAGACTTGAAAAATCATCTGCGAAATAAAGAGTTTGATATCTCGAAGTATTCATCCAAACGCATTTATTATTGGAAGTCTATGACAGGTCAGGAATTATTTCAACGTGACAATAATCATGTTGAATCCGCGTGCAAACTGCTTAGTGAGCATGAAATTCATGGCTTTCACTGGTATCTAAATATAAAAGATTCGGAAGCTACAGCCATCGGTTTCACCACTCCACTACTAAAAGAGATTAAAAATCGTAACATTAGCATTACTGAAATCTACCTCGATGCAACTTATAAGACTGCAAGAGGGCGCTATAAACTTTATGGTATTATAGCAGATATTGAAGGTACTGGTTTCCCAATCGCCTACCTCATACTTGATACAACCAAGGCAACAAATATGAATACTAGCACAGGAAGACGTCGCAAAGTTTTAGAAAGCATAAAGACGCACAATATTAATCCAGATTTCGTGTTCACAGACAAAGATTTCGTGAAAATTAATGCTGTGACCAAGGTGTGGAGTCCTTCGGTAATTCAGCTATGCGCTTGGCACATGAATCGGACTCTTAAACTTAAACTCAAAGAGAAATCCAAGTTGTCAGATAATGCAGATAATGCAGACAATGCAAAATACAAGTTATTATATACTGTAACCTATAATGTCAGTCAGGCAACTAGCGAGTTTAACTTTATCGATCCAACTTTCTATCCGACAGAGGAAGATCGCAATCCAAAAACGTATACTATCTGTTCGCCAGAACATCGAGAGTTGATTTTGAAGATGATGCAAAAACATTTCGATATGCATCCTTTGATACCTGTTGATGCTCAGGGAAATACTATGACACCAACAAATATTAGAGAAAATGCCGTAAAAGAGATTTATTAATTTTGCGTTGAAAATTCACTAAGATTATTATGGATTTATCTATGGACCAACTGGTATTCACCAGAGCAATGGCACCTGTGGACACGATCAGTTAAATCTACTATACCTTTTGGTAAAACGACGATGATGATTGAAGCCCACTGGAGTGTCATTAAATGAAATTACTTGCATTGATTTAATTGTCCTAGACTTGACCTGTTGCTTTAAACACTTTTTAATGAGGTAATACCAGCACAAAAAGAGTGACTTTTGCAGATTCTGACTGGCATAGTGGCACCATGGTGATGGGATGATTTCAAGAAAGTATGGCTCGCTGCAGGTTCGAGTAATGACCAACAAGAAAAGATATGTGTTGATGAGCATGTCAAGGGCAAAAGAAAGCGAAACATCAGTGTGGAAATGACTAATGTGAGCAATTCATATTTCACCAATGTTTCTTGTTGAATTTGCAGCTGCTCCATCTTTCTTGGAAGTCGCTTTTTGTTATGCAAGCATTTAGTTCAGCAGGTTTTTATTATGTCAAATGGTGAACGACGACGATTATTGAAAAATGATTTTGAAGTCATACCACTCCACCTTTTCTTGTTCTGAAAAATATTCAAAGTAACGAAATTAGTGACTTCGTGACTGATGATTCT